CCACCCCCACCCCCCAAAACCCACTCTCTCACACACGCAGTCTTCGCTGAACTATTCACCCCTCTAAAAAAATGTCTCATTTATACAATACGCTTTTGAAACTGCAATTATGAAATTAAGAGACTGGATCACTTTGGTAATACATCAGATTGTTGTACCGATATTTTAAAATTCTCAATACTTTAAATGCATTGGACACGTACTCTTTAAAAAGTGTGTTGTATTTTATAACGCTGTAAATCGTCCGAGAGTGGTTAGGTTTGCTTTTGGGATTCCTATTTGTTTTATATGTGCAACTGTGAAACTGAGTAATGGACGCTCACATTTCTTAAAAGTGGAATTGAAAAAAACCAATTCCTCAATGCTCCAATATTTCATAACGCTACATAGTGATTGAAACCTACAATCATATAAACTCTTTAGTTCAAAATCATGAAAACCAGACCCCGTCAAGTTCTAAGTAACTTAGGATGCTACCTTTGTAATCATATGAAGAAACAAAACCAATTTCCAGGACAGTCGAATCAGAGCCACGTCCTGTGAACAATGTTCCCACTGGAAACAAAAAAAGGCTTTTGTAGACGAAGAAAAACTTGCCAAGAGATTAAGAACAAATAGATGGAGAGAAAAATTTAGGATAAAATGTTTTTAAGAATGGTATCTGATCAGTACAATAAGAGGAGAATCACGATTGCTGATGTTTGTTTCAGATCTGGATCGAAGTATGAGAAAAAGTGTCGTATTTGGGGCCGTTTGTGTCGCAATTGCCGTAAAATTTTTCTCTAAACTCTAAACTTTCCCTCGTCTTGCAGGTTTCCGCACGTACATCCACACCGGCACCACCCCTGGCTATGTGGGCTTTGTGGCTCTAGTGCCCGCCCACAAGCTGGGCATGTTCTTGGCGCTCACAGGGGACGACTACGGCTTTGAGTACAGGTTTGTGGAGACAGCGAAACATCTTGTCTGTTAGTTTTTGAGCGCTTCATCAGCTACGGTACTTGGGTGGTTGACGGTTGCTCTGGTGTAGTTTGTTCTTCTTTCCCATAAAACTTCTATCGTCTCTATCTCCCATCCTTCTTTTTTGTGTTTGTTACTCTCTTGTAGCATCTCTAATCTTCGGCACTTATATGACCTTATTCTATTGCAAGCACCGTAAAACACACTTACTAAAACTAAACAAGCTACGGTACTGTATGCTTCTCGGGAAGCCGATAATGATTCTGAGTGTTCTCTGGTCTGCTGGTGTAATGATATAAAGTAAAGCTCATAGAACGTGCTGTTGAGCGAGTTTATGCGCTAAACATAAAATATACTATTTATTATTTATTTGTACGTTTCTGTTTCTGCGTGTTTGTATGTCTCTTTGTTGTTTGTTCAGTTGTTCAAGGTGCACATCTGTGTAATTGTGTGAGTTTGGCTTTGAGTACAAGCTATTTTTTTTCTTTTTCTTTTTTTTTTCCTTTTTTTTTGTTGTTGTTGCTTGTCTACTTCTTTGTTTGCTTGTTTGCTCGAAATGTACACTTATCCAGGTTCAGCTTTGAATGTAGATTCCCAATCCTGTGAAATTAGAGCTGTCTGCCTAAAACGAGCTATTCATTCCAATTAAGACAAAATGTCAGCATCTGTTCGTATCCTTTGGATATTGCCCTTATAAGTTATATTAACTACAGAAACAAACGTTCACGGGCCTATCGGCCTAAACGTACTATACTAGCATAAGAAATAAGAATGTCTGTATCTGTTAGTATCCTCGAGATCTTGCCCTGACGAATTAGGTCAATAACAGAAACAAACTTTTGCAGGCCTTTCGGCCTAAACTTCGGTACATGCTACAGAAGATTACCCTTTATATAACCGTAATATTATGCACCGTACTTCATCCGAAAGCTGTTCAAACGCTCTAGTTCCAGAATTCTAATCTAAAGAGAGATAAAAACTGCTTCATTCCTTTAACAAAAATTGTACTCAAATGATGTATCTTTCATACTTAAAAAAAAACATTTAAAATGTGAATTCCGACAAAATTTTACTGGAGCACATGCAACTGGCCCATCACAGATTAAGGGATTGCAATTTGTTTCTTGTTTCAAAATGTTGGGCTAAGCACATCATATATGTAGTTCAATATTCTGTACATCTGGCCGACAACAACTTATTTCCCTCCCTTGTCAGACTGGCCCTGGCCAGCTACATCCTGGACACCATGACCGGAGACACGCCCTGGCTCAACACCTCCACTCTCTGCACCTTCCCACAACCCTGGGCCCAGGACAAGACACGCCCACCCTACACCTTTGACCCCAACCTCCCGCCCAGCCGCCCTCTCAGCCAGTACACGGGCGTCTACCGGAGCGACATCTATGGGGATTTGATTGTGGACTTCAACATAACCATGAACGCTCTGCAAATCAGGTTCTGATCAAATGGGGAATCCGAAAGAGGCTGCCTGTTTATCATCTTTTTTAATGCTTTTACTTACCCTACTGCTGCTGTTGCTGCTGTTGTTGTTGTTGTTGTTGTTGTCGTTGTTGTTGTTGTTTTGTTGTTGTTATTGTTGTTGGTGTATGTCTAGAATGTGCATTGTTGTTGCTGATGTTGTTATTGGTGTGGTGTTCCTGTAAATGATATTGATTGTGTTGTGTTGAAGAGAATAAAAAGAAGTAAAGGCTTGAAAAGTTTCGACAAATCCGTGGTAGACAAAAAGACTTTCAACGCTTTGCCGGTAGGACTTCTTCCGGAACATAACCAGTTGGAAAAATTACTATGGCAACAAGGAGTTATATTGCTGTTATGTAGTTGTCATACTTACTTTACTTTTTTCTTCCGCTTGTACCGGGGGGTGTCGAGGGGAGACACATGCGTCTGTCTGCAGCAAGGCGAGTGGCCTGTAGGAGGGACATCCCGTGAGCTCTGAGGGTGTCTGCCACAGATTCACTCCATCGTCGCCTTGGTCTTCCTCTGGCTCTCCATCCAGAATATTTAAAGTGTATTGCTCTCAGAGCTGGGTGGTTTGAGGGCCTCCGCGTGAGGTTGTCATGCTGTTGCTAAACTGTTACTATGCTGTTGTTAATGATGATAGCAATGTTCTTGTTCACGTGGTGCTTTGTTGTTATTGTTGGTATTGCTGTTTCTGTTGTTATGGTTGTTGTAACTGATGCTGACGATGTCGTCGGTTGTGCTGGCGTTGTACATGATGATGACTGTGATATTATTGTTGTTGTAAGGCCGCAGCTGTTGCTGGTGCTGTTGCTGGTGCTGTTGCTGGTGCTGTTGCTGTTCTCGTGTTTGCTGTTACTATCGTGGTTGTTGTTTCCAGAACGTCTCACATAGAGTCATACAGCGTGGGCCACCGACGGGGCTGGAAGAATTTTTTTCTCAAATCATCATTTATAAAAGGGACTTTTCAAGACAGATTGTGAGATTTCGTAACCGACTGGTGTAGAAACATTTCAGAAATTGAAGATTAAAAATAGACTCGAACTGACACCTACACTTGAAGGAGAGAATATATAATTTGGAGTTGACCCGTAATATAATTAAAATTTTTACTTTTTGGAAAGATGAGATGAAAATTTACATATTTACACTCATATATTATATGTATGAGATATATATATAATATAT